CCAGGGAAACCACCGACGTACCCGCAGTGGGGCAGCGAAGTGGAACACAGGGACCCAACCTGGGAGGCAGTGCGTCCCAGCGTGGGGTCTGAGTGCGCGGCGCGCCAATTACCTGGCTCCACGGCTGGGCAGGGGGCTCGTGAGGAGGCGTAGCGTCCCTGAACCGAACCCTGCTGCCCACCGGCGAAAGGAGAGGGGGACTGCCGTGTGGAGACTGGGTCTCGTGCACTGCCATCCTCGCCCTCTTGGGACCCGGAGACAAAGGAAACTGCTCTTATCTTGAAGTTTTGGGTACCACTGGCTGGGTAGCCAGTGGCGGAACAGAACAAAACGAGAACAAAGGATTCCCCCCCCCGGCCCTCCTCCGGGGAAAGGAGTGGTGCGGTCACCATCTCCTGAAGAGCAGGATCCAAGAACTCCGGGTCGCCCTTCCCAGGGACGCCGCCTGCCCTGGCGCCTCACGGGCTTGGCAGGGGCGGAGGCGGGCTGCACCGGTTTCCTGCGGCCAGCTCCACGCTGCGGCCGTTGTGAAGGCTGCTGTTGTGGCCGTGCTGGAGCGGAGGTGGAGGCCGCAGGAGGGCACCCTCGGCGACGAGCAGACAGAGGGGCTGCAGCCGGCGGTGGGGCGACAGCCGCAGACCGCCGGGGCAGGATGATTTGTCGAAACGCCTCCGTCTGCTTCTGCGCGGAGGAGAACTGTTGGGCAAAGTCCTCCACCGCTTCGCCGAATAGGCCGGCCTGGGAGATCGGGGAGTCAGTCATGTTCCCGCACTGAGAACATGACTCATCCTTGAGCGCTGCTTCAGCGTGCTGTAAGCCCAAGCACGAGACACAGCGATCATGACCGTCAGATGAAGCCAGGAAGCGACCACATCCAGAAACGCACAAGCGGGAAGCCATCTTTAAAAAGACGCCCGTCGCTCGTGGAGCTCTTTTAGAACGCTCTCCTTTTATACCCGCGCTGCGGGGCGGGGTGCGCGTGGCGAAACACGCACGCCAACTGTCATTGGCTTGTTTAGTTTACACTCGAAGGTGATTGGGCTCTCGGGCGAGATCCCAATTCGTCAGTCACGACTGACGTAACGTAGAACGTGACTGACTGAAAGGGAACTAAAGTTTCAGACAAATTCTGAATGGATTATAGCCTAGAAAGTACCCAAAGCATTCTCCCTTTTTATCATTAAAAAGTGTCACTTAGTTCATCGCAATCTCACAAAGTTCCGTTATAATCAATGAAGCACTCTAAACTATGCACTGAATCTCTTATTTACATCGTGTCTGCACTTAGTTTGTTATGAGATGATTTCATGAGCGCGAAAAACTGCAATTAATAAAACTCTGAATTCAGAATTTGTTTTAGTATGTGAATTCTGACATACTAAAACGATTCTGATTGGCCATTGTTTTTAAGAAATCAACAGATATGTCTGTGATTGGCTTGCTTAACGCTACAAAAACACATTGAATAGATTGCCAGATCTTCAATTGCTTTTGATTTCCTTTGAGGGTATTTAGCACCCTCTAGTATCCCTGTAGAACTGGGCATGGGTTTGGCTAACCGCTCCAATTGCAGCGGGGCTGACATCGGGGATTCCATGACTAATGGTATGGGGGGGGGCAACCAACCTCCCCCGTGGCCCCCCAATGTTGCCCATGATCAGATATATTCCATCAAGACCAAACACATTAACACTTCCATGTATATTAGCATGCTCCCACAGAGTTGTCATGACAGAAAAATGTTTACATCAGGATTACCTCACTCTCATCAAGAGTTATCTTCCAGTTTTCACAGAGTCTCTGGAATATCCCTGGTAAAGAGAATAAAGGCTGTTAATATGTAATAAATCCAAAACATAATACCTGGAGTACGCAGCTCAGAAGCATGAAAGGATGGAAATAACATTTTGTAAAATAAAAATTTTATTTTATTTTATTTTATTTTTTCAGAAAATCAAATTGCATTGCAAATGGATTACATTACAGCGGAAGTTAAAAGCAGATCGTAAGTGTATTTATTTCTTGTCTAATTAGTGTTTAGTGCAGTTGTTTTGTTTACTGTGTTGAGACGTGCTGAAGTTGCGTTTGGTCTTGTACTGTATCGCATACCTTGTCAGTGTCGTGTGCTTACTTAGCCCTTTGTTGTGATAAACAGTAAAGTGTGTTCAGCTGAATTCAATTTCCGTTTTGTCAAACGGGTATAAATAAGGTTAGTACACCGCGGCAGCGGTCGCAGCAGCCCTAGCGTGAAGACCGAAAAGTGTAAAGACCATCGACTCTACCGTGCGACTCCCCCGTGCAGGAACACAGACAAGGGTCATAATTATCACTTTTGACTCAACCTCTTTTTTACACCTTTCTTCACTTCTGTTTTTGTTTTTATGACCAACTCTTACTATGCGTTTCCATATCCCTACTATTACTACCACTCGCAAACCACACATCCCACACTATAGGCAGCGCAATCCTAACAACCTGCGCACTTTGCCTATGTCTGCTAATACACTACTTACACTACTTATTGGTCTCTGGAATTGTCAGTCTACAGTAAACAAAGCAGATTGCATTACATCTATTACTAGTCATTCAAGACTAAACCTCATGGCCCTGACAGAGACATGGATCAAACCAGAGGACACTGCTACTCCTGCAGCACTCTCCAATAATTTCTAATTTTTCAAGACTAAACCTCATGGCCCTGACAGAGACGTGAATCAAACCAGAGGACACTGCTACTCCTGCAGCACTCTCCAATAATTTCTAATTTTCCTAAACTCACCGTCTAACAGGAAGAGGTGGAGGTACTGGTCTGCTTATCTCTAATGATTTGAAATGTATTCCTTTACCTTCTCTGGCTATTAGCAGCTCCTTTGAATCGCATTCTGTCACTATTACCCACCATTTTAAAAATCCATTTTGTAGTTGTTTATCGACCTCCAGGACCACAAGGTAACTTCTTGGATGAATTAGATGTGCTGCTCTCAACCTTTCCTGAGGATGGTACTCCCCTAGTTATGCTTGGAGACTTCAACATCAACCTAGATAAACCTCAGGCTGCAGAATTCCATGCTCTGCTTGCCTCTTTTGATCACAAGAGAGTGTTAACTACGGCTACTCACAAATCAGGCAATCAACTGGACCATATTTACACACGACACTGCTCTACTGATCATGTACTGGTTACTCCACTGCACACCTCGGATCACTTCCTCCTCACTCTTAACCTCAACATTAATGTGTATCAGGCACTCCTCTCTTCCTTCTCTGCTAATGTCTACACTGCTAAAAGAACATACTATCATAACAGAATTAACAATTCGTCTAACTCTTGCATGCTCTTTAAAACATTTTCCTCCCTCCTTTGTCCTCCTCCTCCCCCTCCTTCATCAACTCTAACAGCTGACGACTTTGCCACATTCTTCATTAATAAAATTAAAAATCATCAGTGCACAATTTGCCACACCACAATCTGTCAAGCACACCTTACCAGCAAGCATACACTCGTCCACATTCTTCTCTTCACTCTCTGAGGCAGAAGTCTCCAAACTCATCCTTTCTAATCATCCTACTACTTGTCCGCTTGATCCTATTCCATCTCATCTCCTTCAAGCCATTTCTCCTGCCGTTGTACCTGCACTCACTCACATCATTAACACAT